ATTTAAATTTAATCAGACTTGCAGGAGCAAAAACATTAAACTATAAACCGATTTGTTCAGTCTTTATGTGACTTAAATGTTTTTTTAAACTACTTTTACTACTTTTAAGCAGTACACACAGTAAAGAAATAGACATTAATTTCTACATAAATGTTCTGGATTAGTATTTAAGCACACGTGCAAACATGGCTGCTGGAGCTGCATGTATGTGCATAACAAGAATAAAACTAACAACTCTCATTTGATGGTTTGTTTCATGAAAAACACCTTCATTTTTACATTTTATTTCAGTGTGCCGACATGAAGCATGCATTTTTCTTGACCTAAAGCTGCACTTTTATCAGTTAAAGCAACTTAAAGACAGAAAACTGACATCCTTTGCTGCACTTTTATGTGTCCTGATGAATGAGATCAAAGCGTTAACGCCTCTAATTTACTTTATGTTCTGCTTTCGCTGTACCTGGATCATAAACTAAAATCTCCGTCAACACCACGCAGCTGTCACAAACTTGTTCCTGAGCCACAAAGCATTGCCGTTGCTCCCGTAAAGCGTTGTTGCATAATGCTGCGTAACCTGCAGCCGGTGCTGCGTTTCTGCAGATGAGGCGGCTTTACTGAGAAGCAGGTCACTCGGTTCTGCAAGCAGCTGTGACACACATGCAGTCCGGAGGCTCGCGTAGTCGGGCGATAAATAGTCGGTTTATTTCGGTCGCCGTCCGAGCGGTGTGAGGTTTAGCGGCTCTGTCACGTCTTTATGCCAAAGAGCTTCCAGCGTCGAGCTCTGAGGAGCCTTCATCTGCAGGGAGCCCGACGGGGCCCCGCTTTGATTTGTGTGGAAAAACTCTTTTATCGTTTTTAACTGATGGCGTCAGAGAGAATAAACTGACTTATTTTTCAGCCACAGTGTTGGACGTCGGGTCCAACGAAGTCCGATCGAGCTCACGCTTACGTGCAGCCCATAGCAGTGATTATGCATCGGCGCACTTAATCTGTGAACTTAAAATGTAAATATTGGTATTAATTGACACGCGTTTTGTCATAAACTGTGGATTCAGGTTAAAAAAAGCCACGATTCTGAAGCAAACTTGTGAAATGTTGAATGAAAACCCAAACGAGACTCGTTTCTGTTAGCGGCTTTGGAGCAAATAAATTAGTTTGGCCAGCAGGTGGCGGAAGAGCTACACATGGCGGGGAAAAGAAGCGTAGAAGAAGACACAAACAAACACAACCAGTTGTTTGCCAGCAGCTTTAAAAAAAAAATTTAAAAAAAAAACAGAAGAAACAAAACTTTGGACATCTACTCTTCAAGAATAGTTCTCAATTTTTAAAAGTCGTAATTTAAATTTTATGCCGTCCGGAAACGAAGGCAACAAAAGTGTTTCCAGTGCACATTATGTACAATAAATCTAATCTGAAAAGGTCAAAAAGCACCTCAATCAAGTGGTGAAACTTTTTTATAACTTGCTGTTTCAATTTTTAAATTAAAATTTCCTTTAAAATGCACATTACAAGTGATGATTNTATAAATGTGTAAATATATACAATATAAAATATATATAAAAAGATGGAAATGTTTTGGTTATACACAGCTGTAGGCTGTTAATTATATTTTACAATAAACCTGTAAAATCAGAGTTTATTTTGTAATTTTTTGATGTTTTTGTGTTTTTAAAAATTCTGAAAAATATCTGTAAAATTGACATTTTTTTAAAATCAGCTTTTAATAAATATATATAAAAAAAAAACTTCTTATAGGATGGATTATGGTTACACACAGTTGCAGGTGGTTAATTATTATTAAATAAACATGTAAATTCAAATATTATTTTGTAATTTTTTGATGTTTTTGTGTTTTCAAAAATTCTGAAAAATACCAGAAAAATTTCCTATTTATTTATTTTACAGCTTTTAATATATATTGGGAAAAAAAACTCCAAAAGCATGGATTATGGTTATACACAGTTGCAGGTGGCTAATTTATTTATTTATTTTTTTAACGACAAACGAGAAAAATTAGAGTTTATTTCGTAATTTTTTTTATGTTTTTGTGTTTTCAGAAATACTAAGAAGTACCAGAATAAATGCATGAATTTATTTACAGCATGTTTTTACATTTTCTCCCAGCAGCATATTGAACATGTACGGTTTCCTCTCAGATGTGGCGGTGTAACAATCCGGCCTCTCGGGCTGTTTGAACTGATAACGGCCCAACGTGGAGGTGACAACACTCGATCTTTCGGCGACTGCGGGTCGCTGTGACACTCGGCAGATGTGCGGCGGACTTTCAACCGAACACGTCAGCGCCAGGTGAAAACACGCAGGTGTGTGTGTTCAGGCGTGACATTTCCCACATGTGGTGACTTTACTGACGGACTTTGAGACCAGAAACAAGCTGACGTCGCCTAAAAACCGCAGCAACCAGAGCACAAAGCGGCTTCGAACACTTGCAGCTTTTAAGCTTTATACATGTTTTTAAATCTAAACTTTCAATGCACTTTAATATGAAAGAATGAAAGAATGAATATTTAGCACTTTTGCAGACAAGAATTGTAGTTTTTTGTTTTTATTGTAAACCAAGTTTTTCTGAAGATCATCCTCAGTTTTTAACCTTCAAAGCAAAATATTAAATATAAAAACATGCGAAATGTCCAGTAAATGCAAAATCGAGCTGCTGTTATTTATTAACACTAACTGCACGTAATTATCTTTTATTTCCACTTCATAGGCACCTCCATATGAATGAATGAATGAGTATCTAGAGCTTGTTACCCCAAACATATTTACTCCAGTTCATTTCACAGGGCAGAATTGTTGTTTTAAATTTTTTTTTTCAAAATTCATATTTAAAATTTACTGTTTAAAACCAGATATCTACTGAAAAACATGCAAAATACCCAATAAATGTGAAATAGCTTGTTATTTAACACTAATCACACTGTAATTATTTTATTCATTTGCTTTATACTTTAAATACACTCATATATGAATGAATGAATGAATGAATGAATGAATGAATGAATGAATGAATGAATGAATGAATGCATCTTGTAGGATATCATATATTGATCCCTGCAGAGTTAAATGTGCCTTAAACGAGCCTCACTGATGAACAACAGGACGGTGATGAACCCGTTTTGGCTGTTTTGACTGTTTAGCAGCTCCGAGGTGGCAGGACGTGAGAGTCTCTGGTATTGAACCTGCTGCTGTGACCGCTGAGTCTCAAAGGTCGACGTATCAGTCACTCTGTCGCTTTCATTTCCCCTCCGTGGACCTGCGACCTGCCGTCCACCAACACCTCAGCGCCCAAATACCTCTCAGCACCTCTTCATATGTGAAACACTGAACCAAAAACCGTTTTTAAATGTTTCTGAATCCACCCATGAAACCAACGACTTGAGCCGAGTCATGAGGTTAACCACAACTCCCAATATGGTAAACATTGCAACGACTTCTTCTTCTTTGTTTGTAGTTATCCAGCTAACGACCCAATTACTCTCCTAATTGCAGGGTTTTTCCTGCAGAGAGGAATTTTTGTTGCAAAGACAGTTTTAGTCGACTCCGAAGACCAGATGCCCAGATAGGAACGGAGAATTCTAAAAATATTTCTTTTTGACCAGTTTTGATTTGAGTATCATTCCCTCAATCATAATGGATTTTTAAAAATCGTTTTTTTTTTTAATTAAATGGTGAGAAACGACAGGAAAATGCAGATTTCTGTCAAATAATCTTACTGTTACTGTGTGTAGTAACCCTCAACTCGCCTCAATCGAAGCCTGAAGAAAACCCTGAACTGAAATAGTTAGTTGATAAATTAAATAACGAATTAACAGAGAATTATTTTACAATCATTTTCGATTTATTGAAAAATTAAGACAATTTCTTTGCAAAAAGGGCAAACATTTTAGAGTTCCGGCTGCAAATTTAAGATTATTTACTGCTTTTCTTTCTTTTACTTGATAATAAAGTAAATATCTTTGGGTTTTGGACTGTCTTTTA